CTATTTAGCCACTTTTTATCACAGAGCATCACTTTTTTTTCCTTTTTGAAAACACCCTGTCAAACTTTTACTTTCATACAAACTATTACTTTCACACTTGGGACATACATCTTCTTCTTGCAGTAATGATATTTGAACCTAGGGCCAAGTATATACTCAGCTACTCAACTATATACTCAAACCAAATGTGTACTTGTAAATTACCAAAGTGAGCTTGTGTGTTGTTGTTGTTATTCTTTGGTGGTGGTGTTAGTTTTTTTTGTTGGTGGTGATTGTTTTTGGTTTCTTTTGTTGTTGTTTTTGAAAAAGAAGATCCTCGGAGTTGTTTGTTTTCAACTTTTTCCCAAGTACAAATGGAAAACACCTTAGAAAGATTTAAAATGTTGTTCTGGCCAAGGAACACATAGGAACTACACTTTAAAATCCTGGTGAAGGCTAGGGCCTTCTGAAAAGGACACCAATAACTTGGGAATAGTAATAAGAATTGACAAATAGGACAGCATAAATTAAAAAGCTGTTCAGCAAAGTAAACAAAGAGCCCACAGAACGTGAGCCATCTGACAGGGAATTAACTATCCAGAATATACACAGAACTAAAAAGATTAAACACCAAAACCCCTAATAATCCAAGCAGTAAGTAAGCAAAGGAAATACTACTATTAGCCAAAAAGATTAAATACCATTATATAGCAGAGAAATGTAAATCAAAACCGTACTGAGATTCCATCTCAATCCTACTGGAAGGGCTATCACCAAGAAAACAAACAAAAGCAAATGTAGGTAACTATGTGAGGAAAAAGAACTCTCCTTCAGTGCAGTCACTGTGGGAATCTCTGCAGAGGTTCTTCATGGAAACTAAAACCAGAGCTACTGCCTCTTCAGTTGTACGCCGGGATATAGAAGATGGGCCACAGTCAGCAGACAGAGACACCTCAGCAGCCTTTCCTTGTTTCAGTAGTCACAGAAACCAGCTTATGGAATCAAACTAGACACACACACACATGCACACTCATGCACATGCACACACACACACGCACACACACATGCACACGCACACACACACACACACACACACACACACACACACACGATTATCATTATGCAACCACAAAGAAAAATACATTGTAAGAAACTAGAGATCTGACAAGTAAACCAGACTCAGATAAACAACAGACATTTTCTCATTTGTAGAATATAGGATGCTCTGTAAATTAAAGAAATAATAACAAAATAAAATACATGAAAGCAGGAAGTGCACTCTTGGGGACTAACAAAATAGACCAGAAGAAATTGGGTAGAAGGACAAGGGAAGGTAATGGGACAAGAAAAATCAAAGGACATGATATATACGTATGAAAATATCATAATTTTGTGTAATTATTTTGTATAATTAATACATTTTAATAAAATGTAAAAAAGAACTTAGGGGAATGTACATCTCATTAAGAATATACATTGATAAAAGACTTCTTGTGGGATCACTGGTGTTTTAGAATCTGAACACATAACTCAGTGAGTCAACATCTTTCAAATAACCAATCCAGGGTGATAGAAAATCATGTGTGATATGAATTCTAACGCATTTATATGCATTATAAATCAGTGTGAATTTTTGTTGTTGTTTTCTCTATGTAGCCTTGACTGTCTTAGGACTCGCTCTGTAGATCAGACTGGCCTCAAACTCAGAGATTTGCCTGCCTCTGCCTCCCAAGTGCTGGGATTAAAGGCATGCCCAGTTCAATAGGAATCTTTTAATATAATGGAGTTTTAAAAAAAAAAAAAAGGTTACTTGAGGTTTCACACTGCACATAAGACACCACCACTTAGTGAATTCCAGTGTCGCATCAGAAGACACAGCATCAGAAAAGAATAAACATACTCCTGTTTTCAAGGGCACCCCGTGTAGGAGGCTAATTATTCTTGTTTCTCTTAAAACAACAGTCTACAACAGAGTGACTGGAGGAGCAGATGTAAGGAGCTCGCTCCTATTATGACACACATTTGAGAAAAAAAAAACAACATAGATTTCTGCAAAGATTATTTGTTAATATCTGATGAGTGCATTATTATTTTAATGAGATCAGTATTATATCAGTTTTAATTTCTGAAATGGCAAATCCTGGCAGAAATGACCCAAATAAGCAAAACATCTTCAGAGTCCTGATAACTTTTAAGGCTTTTGAAGAAGTTTTAAGACTAAAAAGTTGGAAAATTGAAGTATTATAGATTTTGGGGCATTTCACATAGAATAATAGGTGTAAGATTTCATGTTATTTTATCAGAATTCTGTGCTTCTAGTTAGGATTAGGCTTGTCTCAGAAGTCCCAAAGCTTATATTTACCTGACACTGGCGGCGTAAAACAATGCAAGGATGGGCCAGCACATTTTCTGTGAAGAGACTGTGCAGAAATTATTTATATGTGAGTATAAATATAATGTTTTACACATACTTTATTTATAATATACATATACCCAAGGTTATTCTTATATTTTTACAATTAAAGGAATTTAATATCTATACATCCACAAATAATGCAAACAGCAAGTTCAATATAAATAAAATCTAGATCCACAAACTTGTAAATATGTATAATCTATATAGTACAAAGACGAAAATAGAGCTCCATATGAAAAAAGTTAACCATTTAACTTCCCTTTCAGAAAATATTCTATGAACAAAATTCTCACATGAAAAGTCATTTGCTTTTCAAGATCCTTATTCCAGAAATTTTTATTTTGATATACTTGGGATTTAAGTTACAGGACTTTTAATGAACATGTTAATTACTACTTTATGTATCAAATATTACTTTTGAATATGTTCCCCCCAAAATAATTAGTTGCATATTTAAGTTCTAATAGTGACATATGCATTTATATATAATATGTGTGTATATGTCTATAATTATATTATTGTATATTATTTATGTGTGTATATGATATAAATATTATAATATACACACATATTATATAAACTGGAATTAAGCTTTAAGAATAAAAATTAGGCTAAAAAAAGATTAGCAAAATAGAAAATAGACTTTATCTATGCTGACACAAATATCCCTCAGTTTTTAATATGCAAATAAGGTCATTCTACTGGTTATTTAAAATGATGGCCATTTTGGTATGAAGGATAAGCAAAGTACAAGTCCAATATTTGTGAATTTTCATAATACCATAAGTAATACTGATGAATGTTATAATGACCATTATAAGCAGTAACAAAACCAAAAAAGGAGGCTGACTACCAAATGGTAAATGAAAACAAAAATGAGTTTCTATGCTGCAAAACTACCTAGGTATCATTGCAATGTTTAGAGAGCTGGCTCATCGATCACATCACTTTGAGAGGGAAGATTACATTCTATTCAATTCTGATAGAGTCATGAAAGTTACTACCATATTCATTACAAAATTACTTTCTTTCTTTCATTCTTTCTTTCTTTATACAATGAGATGACTGGTTCCTACTTCTATTAGAGAAAAATCAAGTTATGAATTCTTTCTTTTTGGTTTTTTGGTTTATTTGGGGGGGGGGGCGGTTAGACAAGGATTCTCTGTGTAGCCCTGGCTGTCCTGGAACTCACTCTGTAGAGCAGGCTAGCTTGGAGCTCAGAGATCCATCTATCTGCCACTGCTTCCCAAGTGCTGGGATTAAAGGTGTACGCCACCACTACCCAGCAAGTTATGGATTCTAAATAATCAAATCCTACAAAGTTAAGAAACCCAAAGGAAGAAATGTTAATTACTTAATATTGTAATAATTAAAGGAAAAACTCTAAATCAAAAAATTTTAGAATAAACATTACCTTGCAAGTCCAATACCAAATCCAGCAAATCTATTCAACTGCTCTAAAATACAAAGGATAAGATTACTTATAACCAATATTTAAAACCAAAATATATAACCAAAATTTTAGAGTAACATGCTATTATTCATTTAAACCTCAGAATATGATGTGGGACAGGGAGGTGGGATAGGGAGGCAATTTAAACAGTGAGTGACTGGCGGCGCTGCGGCAAGTTCCACGGAACGCAGCTCTTAACGGAGCAATTCTGTCTTTCATTCCGACGGACTGTTGCCACAAGGACTTGCAAGCTGGGACATTTCTAAGTTGTGACTATTTTAAACGATAAAACCTTGAAAGTTTAAATATTATCAAAAGTAACTCTCTGAAGAAGTGTTAAAGCCCTGTAAGGACAATGTCAAATTTGTATACAGATGAAATCTAAGCATTGTCAGCTTTAATTTCTGATTACAATCATTCCAAAATTGTCTATGGGTGGCCATGACTGATACACTAAGAAACTGACTACTTATGCTGTACAGTCATCTGCTATTACTAAGGGACAACAGTTGGATGTAAAATGCCTGAAAATCGTTACTTTGAGAGTACTGGTGCTATCCGTATAGGTTAGGTATAGCTTCTCCCTATGCCCTTCCGTTGGAAAGAGCTGACGAACCATTGTTTAATCCAGTCTAAGTGGCAGGACCCTAGGAACACATGTGCCCCCTTCTACAGCCCGGCAGGAAAGCAAACGGCTAAAAATTCCTATGCACTGCTAGAATAGAAGTCTTCCTCCTGAATAACCCCAGTAGTGACCTAGACAGGGAGTAGACATGAAATAGCAACATTAACAAGAGACAGTCTCTCTCTTCGCTGTCATTTCAAATGAAGTGATGTACTTTACCACGTGAATACTCTTATAAGAAATAGGCCATGTAAGCATGTTCCTGGGGCAACTACCTGCTTCACCCTGAAAGATGTACAGTGTAGTGATGTTTCATTTGTATTTTAATAAATAAAGCTTGCCTGAAAATCAGAGAGTAAATAGCCACACTGGTCAGCCTTTCAGACCAGGCACTGGTGACATACACCTTTAATCCCAGTAACCACATAAATTTGCCACAGAAACTGGCAGTAGTGATACACGCCTTTAATCCCCGTCCTAGAGAGGAGTATAAAATGGGAGGAGAAAGCTCTCAGACACAGTCTTATTCTGAGATTCCTGGAGGCAGGATCGCCATTTTGAACTGCGGTAGAGAGGTAAGAGCCAGTGTTTTACTTTTCTGACCTTCAGGTTGAACCCCAATTTCAGTCTCTGGGTTTTTATTAATCGTGCTACAGTACAAGCTAGAAAACTTCTTGTCATACTGAAGTACTTTCTTTTGTGTGCTTATTTATCATTCCCAAATACTAAAGCAAAGACATTTATGAAGCGTTTTAGGAAGGCTTAGTGCTGTTAATTATGTAAGGCGCTACTTGCTGCAAAGTTTTACTCAATTACTTGGTAACAACTTCAAAATAAACTGGTTGTGTTAGCAAGTTTCCCCTCACTGGAACTATCAAAATGTAATTTAAAAAAAGATTAAAAACTTTACTGCCTAAGATGGTGACTTTGCAGCAATCATCCCTGTGTTTTGAATCATTTCAGAGCTTCATTCAAAAAGAGTTTCCCAGCACTATTCTGGGACCCGTACAACACAATGAAACAAACGAGATGACAACCAAAAGCTTAACTGTCGACCCTGGATGAGCCATGGATCCTCCTTTACCACCTCATGTCCTCACTAATAATCAGGCTCTTCCAGGTCAGTCAAGCATTTCTGGACTCTGAGTAAAAACTATGAAATGAGTATCACGATCATGTACAACATGTTTAATACTTAATGATACAATTTGTTATTCCCAGAGAATAAAGTCAGCTATTACATATCAAGCATAAAACGGATTTAAAATGAATTTTAAACTTATGTGGTTCACGCAGTGTTGCAACTGAAGCTCTCTGACATTCCATAAAGAGTAATGGCTTACAAAGTCAAGTTATAATAGTGTTTCTAACTCTAAGTGGAGGTTTTAGGTCAGATGACGAGAAGGGGAAACTGCAAGGCTTTATGGATTTGGGGTCAAAATCAGAACTCTCATGCTGAAAGGGGAAGTGAAGGAAACGAATAATTATCCTACTGTGCATATTTGCATTATTATACTGTTATTCATTTTATTTAGCACTCGGAAAAATTACGTCATTCGGCAAGTCTTAACGAGGGATCAGACAAAAATAGTTAAATTTATGATTGGTAGAGCCAGGCTCCAAACCCAAATCTGCCTGTACTAAAAAACGTCTTTCCAAAACGAAAAGGTATGACTCAATTAACCAATCTGCCAGAGATCTGTGAATCAGACAAGAATAAATAGTCTAATTTATTTCTTTCCTGCTTCAGGTCACCGGTGGTAACGTTCCCGGGCCCCTGAACACTCCAACCAATGCATCCTAGGCTACGCTGATGTCACCTAGTGTGGTGATCCCGGAGCACGAATCGCGCGCACAAGAGGCTCGCTTCAGGGCAGAGGACGAAAGGAGGGCAGAGGGTGTGGTTGCGTGTGCAAGGACCTAGGCGGGCCCAGCGCGCCCTTCCGGAGTCCGCCGGCCCACCCGCCCGGCCGGGCCCCGCACCCCTCACCGCTGCTCGGGCCCGGACGCGGGCCGTCGCCGCCGCCGGGAAAAAGCTCCTCCGCGGGGCCCTCGAGCGGCGTGGGCGCGGACGGCCCACCGGAGGTCGGGCTCTTTTCGCCCCAGTGCAGATTGCGGCTGCCCGGGATGTCCGGGGGAGTCGTCACCCAGTGGCCCAGGTCGGTCCCAGAGCCGAAAGAGCGTGCATGGAAGGGGCCGCCGAAAGCCGGATCGTCCCGCACGCCTCCCCGGTAGCCCAAGCCATCGAAGCCGTCGGGGCGCCGCGGATGCATCTCGGACGGGCGGACGAGGACGAGAGGGGCCGGCCCGCCGAGCCCAGGCCTCCACCGCGTCCCCGCCGCAGCCGCCGCGCGTCAGGAGACTGACAACCGGAAGTCACGACTGAAACCCGGAAGTCCCAGGAGCACACGTGACTCTGCCTCGCCTCTCTTCTTCCCAACGTGGTTGCCAGGGAGACGCCGCAGCGGTCTTAGGCTGGAAGGGAAGGATGCCTGGGGGCCTGGTCGCAGGAGATGCAGTGTGTGTTCTCTGCTTTCAGGGATGCTTCGCATGGTACAGCAGCCCCGGATGACTTCGGCCTGTTGCAGTATGCCGTCTCCCCTCACCCAGGTGCCTCTCCCTTCCCGGGGGAACCCGCATGAGGGAAAGAGTGTCACTCAGTCTCCCTTCGTCTCTCGTTGTTGGGGCCACCAGGCATTAGCAAAGTACAAGTCAAGAACACCCTCACGTGCGAATACATACTGCCCTCTACAACACAGGAATCAAGTATTTAACTTTTCTAAGACCACAAGGCAACTATAAACAATTTTTTCTGATGTATCCAAATAACTTGAGGTACTAAGATCGCAGCGTTGTCACTGAACACCACCCCCCACGAAGACGTCTATTGATTCCCGCCACTACCTGTTTTTATTAGTCTCTTGGGGTGTTGAGGCTGGGTGGTTCTCGATAGATCTGTTTGTGTTTTGCATGCCTTCTTCCTGAGCCTTCTTCCCAGCTGAACGCTGGAATCTTAGGGTATTCAGAAGAGAACCCTGACATAGTGCCCTCAAAAGCCATGAACCTTCGTTTAAAGGGCTAACTACCTTTTTTGGCAACTTGACATTTCTTGTTTTATGCTGTGTTTTGGCAAAATGTGGTGAGTCTCGAGCTAGTATTCCTTGGGTGCTAATAGCAAATCACTACTGGACATGGCAATAAAAGAATTTCTTTTCCTCAGCTTGCTGAAGGGAAGAAGTTTGCTGGCCCTGAGCCCTAGAGATTCCTGTGTGTTTAGTGGTTTGTTTTAAGGAGTAGAAAGACAGGGAGTTTTAATACAGAAAAGTTGCACTTCACAATTTCACATCCTTGAAAGTAGAGAGAGAATGAATTATACCTCAGGAGCTAGCTAAAGGGAAACAAAGCCATAAAAGTCATTACTTACAAATTAGAGCTGTAATGCACTATCATCTTCCTTGTTTAAAAAATTGGAAGAAAATATGTGGATATTTTTATATAGTAAATTGGAAGACTTTCTAATCCAGCATCAAACCTAAAAGTCATTTAAGTAATTGGGAAATATTGTAATTCATTTTACTGTAAATTTTAAATTTAATAAATTAAAACCAGTTGTAATCAACATTAAAAAATAAATAACAAACTGGAAAATGACATTTTAGGATGGCTTAGACAATGGAGCATAACTCTACAAAGAGCTTTTGCCAATGAATGACAATAAATCAGTATAAATATAAGCAAAGAATATGAAGAAGCTATTTTAAAAGGTGAATAATCATATAAACTATGTCTTCCAGCAATCATTTTACATAAACAGTCACCTTTCCTCAGTTAAAATGGCAATCTTGGCTAAGTATGGTGACTGAGACCTATAATCCTGGCACTTAGGAGATTGGACAAGAGGAATGCCAGAAGTTCCTAACCAGCCTGAATTACAGGTTGAAACCCAGTCTGAGACAAAACCAAAACAATAATGTCAGTCTTTATACAAAAAATGTGCATTGTTGTTACAAGTGAGAAGAAGTATCTTTCACATAAAGAGTGATTATAAAAATACAACAACTTTTTAGGGAGAGCAGTTTAGTAGTGTATTGCCTTTTAAACTCTTAAATTTTAGGAAGTAAATATAACATTTCTGCCCTATACAAGCTTTGAGCTTATATAGTACACATGTGCTTATGACATACTTACTGACATTAAGAAAAGCTTCAGGGCTCTAAGTAACAAATCATTATCTTACTAATCATTAAAAACCTAAATAATTACTAATCAACTAACCATTAAGTGAATATCAATTCAGATCATTAATTAAAACATATGTCATCTCTTGAGACAGATACTGTTTGGGTTTGGTGTGTGCGTGATTTTTTTTTTGCATGCATGTGTTGTGGGCATGTTCATGTGTGTGAATGTAAGTGCACATTCATATAGAGGTCCAAAGTTAACATTAGCGGTCTTAATTGATCTCTGCTTTATTTATTAAAGTATTGCCCCTTATTAAAGAGGAGCTTGCCAATTGCAGATATTCTAACTAGCCATCTCGCCCCAGTGCTGTGGGATAATCCTTCTCTACACTATGAATATGTTTTATTCTCACTGGTTAATAAAAAAGCTGATTTGGCTTGTAGTAAGGCAGAATAAGGCTAGGCAGGAAAGCCAAACTGAAAATAGAGAGGGGAAGAAGGGCAGAGTCAAGAGACAGGAGCCAGTTGCTGAGGAAGCAAGATACGAGAAGACAAATAAAGCCACAATCATATGGCAAAATATAGATTAATAAAAATGGATTAATTTAAATGTAGAAACTAATTGATAATAGGTCTGAGCTATCAGTCAAATATTCTGTAACTGATATAAGCTTCTGTGTGTTTATTTGGGACCGGGTGGTCTCGTTTGCAGTCCAGGAATATGCTGCCTCTACCTACTGATTGCTTAGATTGCAGTCCGCCTCCAAACCCACCTGGCTTTTATTTGGGTGGGCCATCTAAACTCCTGTCCTCACTCTTGCACCACAAGTGATTTATCCAAATGAGTCACTCCCATGACCCCTCCCCATACTGTTTTAAACAATAGGCATGCAATGTTAAATGAGCCAGACATACAGTTTAGAGAGACAAACAGCAGATGTACACATGCAAACACACCATGTCAAATAATAAAGTAAACATAAGGTAATGTCAAATGATAACTTTGAAAAAACTGAGCAGTAATTTGGCCATTATATATTAGTTGTTCTAGAAGATAGTCCTCTCTGAAGAACTGGCCTTTGAATACTAGAAAAAACAAAAAAACAAAAGAGGAAGGAATGAAGGGAGTAGAGCCATGTCTCACAGGCAAGCTGGATGCATCCATAATTAATAAGAAGTTTCTGTGTCATTATTATTAAAAATTTGTATTCTACCAACCTGGAAAATCTTACCCACAAAAGTTAATCAAGGTGAAGTGGGAGCCAGAGCCCAGGGCCAGATGGATTCAAAATTCTATCAGGATTTCAAAGAAGATAGAACATCAGTATGGCTTTTAGTTCATTGATTTCTTTTCTGATTTTTATTATCTCTTGCTGTCTTCTTGGTTTTGGTTTGGTTTGATATTATGTCTCTAGATTCTTATAGGTGCATTATTAAGTATTTTTGTGCTCTTTCTGATTTTTTAATGTAAGCACTTAAGCCTAAAAATTTTTCTCCTAGGGCTGCTTCTAACATGTCCCAGAGGTTCTGTTGTGTTGTGCTTTCATTTCCATTGAGTTCCAAGAACTTTTTAATTTCTTTCTTGATTTCTTCTTTGACCTAGTCAACATTTAACAATGAGTTCTTTCCTCTTCGTGAGGTTGTGTACTCACTAGATGTTGGTTTGCTATTGATCTTATGATCAAATAGGATACACAGTTATTTAAATTTTTCTGAAGTTATTTAAATTCTCTTTTAAAATTTGCTTTGTATCTTCAGATATGTTTCTTTTAGAGAAACTTCAAATGGGCGATTGTGTAGAAGGTATTTTCTTTGCTGTTTGAATTAAATACTCTATAGATATTAGTTCCATTTGATGCGTGATGTCATTTATGTCTGATGTTTTCTCTATATTTTTTGTACAGATGACCTGTCTATTGGAGCATGTGGAGGTATTGGAATCACTCACTATTAATGGGTTGATGTGAATCTTCATTTTTAATTTTAGTAGTATACATTTTATTAAATTGGATCCACCAGAGTTTATATATATAATGCAATCATAAATAATACAATATAAATATATGTAATATTATAAATAATACAATGTAAACATATGTAATATTACATATAATACAATATAAATATATGTAATACAGTTATATATATTATTATATTGTCTTCTTCGATAATTGTTTCCCTATTTAAAATGAAGTGTTCACTTTATCCTCTCTATTCAGTTTCATTTGAAATCTGTTTTGTCAGTATTAAGATAGCAAGGCTGCTCACTTCCTGCTCGATTCCCCATCCCATTTGTTTGGAGTACCTTTTACCATCCTTTCACTTTTAGGTGGTGCCTATCCTTAAGATAAGACAACAGAAAGATGAATTTTATTTCCCAATCCATTCAACAACTAACCAGTGTCTTTAGACTAGGGGATTAAAACTATTAATATTATTCTTCGGGCCCGTGGCAGGGTCCCGGTGAGGAGGAGCTCGGGCTTTCCCCGACCCCATAGACTCCCAGGTCACCCTGCAGTGCTGGCTCCCCCCTCCCACCTGCCATGCCAGCTCCCATCCAGGTACAAATTCCTATATTTCTCCCTTCCCCCTGGGGCCATAAAATTTCCCCAGCTCAGCTGCCTTGCGAGCTGGGTCTGCATTGTAAGCGCATCCCGGAAAGAGGGAGTGCCTGTGCTTCAATAGCCTGCCTGAGGAAAGGTGGGCATTCTGTCAGTGAAGTCCCTGCCCAAGAAGGGAACCTGACCCTGTACCAGAAGTTCCAATAGAGAGCATTTGAAGTGAGAGATGGGCAGACGCCAAGGCAAGACCTCATCCAACAATCTAAAAAAACAGCATGAAAACACCAGATTCCCAAGGACCATACAATAGAAGGACTTGAACAACTTAACCCAGAAGAAGTGGAAAAAAGTGCCATTATGAAAGCAATAGAGTCCCTTAAACAGGGTATGAATAACTCCCTTAAAGAATTGGATGAGAAGTATAACAAAAAGTTTGAAGAAACGAGTATAGAAATGGATGAGAAATAAAACAAAAAGTTTGAAGAAATAAGTAAATCCGTGAATGATACCCTGAGAAACCAAGAAAAAACAATCAAACAGGTAAAGGAAACAGTGCAAGAATTGAAAACTGAAATGGAGGCAATGAAGAAAACACAAACCGAGAACCGGCTGGATATGGAAAACCTAGGTAAACGAACGGAGACTACAGAATCAAGCATAACCAATAGAATACAAGAGATAGAAGAACGAATCTCAGATTCTGAAGATACCATAGAGAAAATAAATGCTCTGGTCAGAGAAAATGGCAAATCCAACAAATTCTCTTCACAAAACATTCAAGAAATCTGGGACACAATAAAAAAACCAAATCTAAGAATAATAGGGATTGAAGAAGGAGAAGAACTGCAGATCAAAGGCCCAGAAAATA